GTGCTAATGCTTTAGCATGGCTCACCACCTACGGCTCTGGGTTACATCTGTTTTGGTTTCATTTGAAGAATTAAGCCCCAGCCTTGCACAAATGCAAAGACCTGCCCTGCTTTTCCAGGTGGCCATGAGCTCTGGTACAGCCTTTTCACCAGCTGCCTTTGGGGTGGCTGCAGCCACTGTCGGAGAGGGCAGGATTTGCAAGTAGGGTTGTTCTTTACCAGAAGGGGAGGAAAAAAGGGAGTGAGTTCCTCCCACCTTTCCCACCTCTAGAGTCCACCCTCTAAGCCTTTCCTGGTGGGAACCAAATCTTGCTATGAGCAATGCTCAGGCAGCAAGCCTTGTCACCCAAAATAGGGTTTCTTCACCCCAATCATCACTCAATGTGCCATTTTTTAGTTGGCATTTTCAGGGCTGCAGCTGGAGCTTTACATTCCCTGGGAAGTTTTCTTGAAGAACAGGTTGGCCAGTTGGGGAATGTTTCACTGCTATTTTCAGCCTGGGACGTTTTCCCTTTTTTTCTTCAAAGTACAACAAAAAACCTGTCGACAACTCACAAAAGAGTGATCTCAGTCTAAAATACGAGTCCTGGCACAGGAGGGCATTTGACTCAGAAGCCACTTCCCATCTTTGGAGACTTGAAGTATGTTCCACTTCGTCATCCTGAAGGCCTTTAAATGCTTATAAAAACAGAGTTTATTTATCCACAGTCAGAACAGCCTATCTATTATCTTGAAGGCTGAATTCAGAAAGTTTCTTCAGAAATTTATTGGTTTCATTCCTACCAGTCTGAACAGAAGTTTTCCACAGAGTCTGTCAAAATATAAATGTCTCAATTCCAATTTCCTTCGGTCTTTAGCAAGACATCACATTAATTGTGTTAAAAAGCACTTTTATTAGTTACTGAGAAAGCAGGAGTCTGGCAGCTCCTCTTGACCACTAGCTATTCACATTTGTGAACTCTCCTTTAACAGTGGTTTGATCCAACGCAGTGTCTTTCTCCACCAGCAAACTCAGCAGTGCCTGAAGCCAAAAGGACCAGCTCCAGGCAAGGATTATTGGCTTCAGGTCTCAAGGGCTCCTACTTCTACCTGGGCAAAGCCTTTCTGCCCCACTCGAGGCTTCTCGTATCCCCACTGGTGGAAAAAATGGACCAGTGGAGGCACATGGTCAACCTGTGATCCATGAGAGAGGGCATAAATATGTACAGAATGGGATAATTTCATCCACACCTGTGATGCTTTCAAGAGGAGTCAGGGAACCATCTAACAGCTTGTAGGAGTTTTAGTTTAGTCTGATTTTGCATAAGGCTATGTTTCAGCAAACAGCTCAACCTGGTGATTATGTGGCATCTACTTCGCAAGGGAAAGGCGGTCATAGTAAAAGCCAGCAAGTCTCAGTCCTCTGAGGGGGGATGCTCTGGGATTGCTCCTGCCAACATTCAGTCATTCTGGAGCTGCGTGGGCAGCCAGAAACCCAAACTTCCCACCTGCTTCCTCACATCAGCCCTCCCGGCCTCCTTTAGTCAACACCAGAGCATGCAGAGCAGGATGCCCACTGCTCGTGTCTTGCGGAGCTGCGGAGGAACGACACGCCGAGACGGACTCAATGTGGGTGATAGAGCATCATATATAGTATATCTTTATTGGTCCAGGGTACATATATTTATACAGACAACGCTAATTATTATGCCTACTAGTCACTAGCTGATTGGCTTAAGCTCTAAAGGTCGTATTCGCATGGTCCACCTACTTGCAGTTAGCTAACAGCACAAGCTTCTCGTAACACTAAGTTTCTCATGCCACTATTCCTAATTCCCCTTAACCTGTTTTCGACACACCACGGTACACAAGGCTGAAGCATCCTTGACATTCTTCATGTATCAGCAGCTGCGAGCAGCTGCAGGCAAACCCTAGTGGGGCCCAGCATCAGCGAGGCCCAGTATCAGCCCCTAGAACAGGCTCTGATCGTACAACTGCTCGGTGGGCTCAGGACCCTTGTCTCTGAGCCATTCTCCAACAGTGTCTCAGTGCATCAGCCAGCTGCAGGACGCACGCAATTCCCTATCATGCAAGCACCACGGAGAGATACAACCGGACCATTAGCATTTTGTGGGAAAACTCAGCTCTACTACATATTTGCTATTGGCTGTCCCATTCTAAACAAGGTGACAGACGTTAATTGGCATTAAATGACACAAACTGAGGTTGGCCTTTCCCTCCTGGCATTTTTTTCAGTGCCCCCAATGCTATGCCAAACTGAGTCCTTGCTTACGCTTCAGCTCTGAAAATACTTTGGAGAGCGCCAACACACACATGTGCAATCCTCATATGGAAGAAGCCAGTGCTCTGATAATTGAGACATTAATGCTGAAAGACTGAGAAGGTTTCCCTTAGCTGTCATGGCTTGGCTGTGGAGAGCTTATGAAAAGAAAATAAATAAATTGGGGCTTACTTGAAATAGCCAACAGATTGAAGCCTGAAGATTTTTGGAAGCAGCTATGCTGGGAAGGAGCACATGTGAAGGGTCTGGTTATAGGACCCCTCCTATGGTTGTGTAACACGCAAGCATTAATGTTGCAAGTTGCAAATATTGGCAGGGCTGGCAGGGTTGCACCCACTCATCTCCACACCACCTCTGTAAGCACACTGACACTGTCATCTTCCAGCCAGACATGCACAAGGGTGGTCAGGACAAGCAAAAGTGAGAGCCCAATATACGTTGGGAGCAAAGATGTTCTTGCAGAAATGGTTTGTTGGATGCTCGGGTATCTGTGGAGGGATTCACTTGTCAACAGAAACCTGGAGAGATGAGCTTTTGGACTGGAGGAAAAGCTGTGCCATCCAAAAAGCACAGCCCAGCTCTTGTCACAACCCTCTTTGATCCACCATTGGTTTAACACAAACTCACCTGGGGAAAATAAATTCTCTTAGTCTTGAAGATGACTGATACCCAACTCTTACAACTACTGGAGTCATAAAGCAGCTGAAGATATTTTGATTGGAAAAATACCTCTTGACCTCCCTTGCTGTCAGAGTGTCCCAGAGGATCTGGAGGCCTCTTACCTACAAGAGTGCAAAGGATCAAGTCTGTGTGGCAATGAACATCAGGAAGGGCATTCATTCAGCACAGGCCCTTCATCTCTTTCTTTGATTTCAGGACTCCACTCAAAATCTTAGACCAGAGGTGCGGTAATTAAGGGCTGAGCAAGGTCTGGTCATGCCTTCTGCACAGGACACGGCTCCTGCATGGCAAAGCAAGCAATCATGTGCTGGAGGGACCTCACTGCCCATAATTTAGTCCAGTTTTGCTTTCAAGTGCTGTGTTAATCATGATTGCTGGAGGCCAGATGGTGCAATTCATTAAGTGCTGGGACCTGATGCTCTCACATGTGCTGGTTTTACACCTGTATTATTCACCTGCCTCATCAGAGCCAGCCCTGACTTCTCCCAGCTGAATGGAGAGGAGAATCAGGCGTTTCCATTATTCAGCTTTTGGACATTGCCACAACCAGCCTGAAAAACATCCCTGTCACATGCCCTTTGCGTGGTCAGGGAGAGCCTCAATTACACGGCGGTGGCCGTGCATGGGCCACCAGCCCCGCTGTTTACAGGAAGTGCCGGCGCAGAACATGGAATTAGAAAGACCACAAGGAAGTGAGGGATTATTTACCGGAGATTAAAGGACATAGAAAAACCACAGGACAAATCAGTGGGGCCTAAGCAATGGTAGCTGCTATTTCAGTCTTCCAGCTGCTAGCATTCATACTGGTCATGCTGTGACGGGAGAATATGGGAGAAATTCAGCAGGATGTGTGGTTGCTCTGCTTTCAGACCAGTAAAACACATCAAAGAATGGATGAATGGAAGGATGGGAGAGATGTGTGCTCCACTCCTTCCCTTCCTCAAACATTCCCTTGAATCTTCCTTCTCCCCGGGTGTGATTCCTGCTTTGGACTGCATCTCCAGGACAAGCAGCTATGTCCAGACCTGCCTGCTGGCAAAGCTACTGGGACATGCCAATGGATTAACCCAGGCTAGTCAAGATAAAGAATCTTCTCAAATCTGGAAAGAAATGGGGTGGGAGTTGAGGTCTGACATCTCAAGACCTTCAAGACAGCTGCAGTGCCAATGGGAGCTGGTGTTTCTTGGAATATCCATGGAAAGGGGGGAAAACTACTGAGTCAAACTTAATCCTCATCCTCTAATACAATCCAGTCTAGCCTAATCCCTTTCAAGACTATTTCTTCTCCAGGCTTTTGCCTTTATTTTAAGCACCTACAACCTCCTTTCACCCTAGAAAGTTCAAGCCCATCAGTAGGGTCTCTGGTGGGAAGCAATGCAGGCAGAGCTTGTGGCCAAGAGGAGACATCTTACAAGTGACAAGACACTCTTGTTTTAAGTGCCTCAGTCTAAGTGCCCATGACTTCACCTAATTTTTGGTGAGCTCTGCTTTTCAGATAAGACTGGCCACCAGGATTTCAGTGGTTGCTCACAAGCATTGAAATCTGGGTCGTAACTGGGTCAGGTCTCATGTCAGTGCATTCCCTTCTCTACCTGCAGCTGCAGATGCACAACCTCTGCTCCTGTGGCTCCCCAGGATGGCCATGCACTCATCCACTTTTCCCAGAAAATCCCTCAAGATATTCCAAATGCTTGGATATACTTTCTCTAGCATTCTGCTCCTGGCATGTAAAGATGTTTTCAGTGCTGCCATCCTTGTCCCATAGCCCTGCTTCAGGTTTTGCCCTCACCAAGTCTCCCTTCACCGGCAGGGAGTTTTGGAGCACCCAGACTCCTCCACCAAGCCCCTTCCCAGGGAGTCAGGTGTCTTGTTTGCTGTCTCTCTTTCCAAAGACAGAGATGTCACTTATCTTCCCTCCCTGGGTTCTGCTGCATCTCAATGCCATGCAAAAGTCAGGCCACTGCCACATGCCACGTGACAGCATCCCCCCATCCACCCCCACCGCTGTTCAGATTGAGCTCCCACCACCACCACCGCGTCTTCAGCAGCACCGTGGCCCTTTGTGCTCGGCACGGGGTGGTGATTCAGCCCTGACTCAATGGGAAGGTGGCCACGGACTGAAACCCCAACCCTGCTCCCTGCACGGTCTGTGGTTAACATGATCCTGCTGGAAATTACAGAGCTCCAGCAAAGGCAGGCGGGGGAGGCTCCCCTTGGTGAGGAGGAGCCCACAAGAGGCTCCCACTGACATTCCTGCCTTCTCCCTCGCTCTGTATCCGTGGGGCTGAGCGAACACAAACGGCACATCAACTTCATGTTTGACCCAGAGCAGTGCTTGGCTGCTGGTGCCATACCACAGGCTCCGTCTGGAAAGCAAAGAGTAGTTCAGTAGATTTTTCTTTTATTTCTTTTTGTTTTGTTTTGTTGTCCCTACAGCAAATAGGGAGAAAGGATGAACGAGCTTATTTTACAGCCTTGGAGGAATACCCAGCCATTGTTAGCTTGACACATGCTGCAGAAAGTGATAGCTCAGAAAATGAAAGCTTATTCTTTCCTGAATGGGTTGACTGAAAAAAAAAAAAAAAAAATCCTAAAAACCCTTCCACAGGCCAGCAGCAGCATTTCCATCAGCTATGTGGCTGATCCACGACTCGGTGACTTCCAGAGCAGGACCTGACCTGCTGCATGCAACAAAAGGAAAGTGAAGATCTGGGTTTACATATTTTTTTTTAAGGAGTTTGAAGAACATTGTGCACCCAGCCCGCCCTCCCCTTGCAGGTGCCGCCCAGCCCCACGTCCCCATCCTGGGCTCTCAGCAGGTGGAAGGGAGGCAACACCATCCCTCTGCAAACACTAACACAGAAACTCTCCAGAATATCTCCTTCTCTCAAGTCTCTGCATCTAGAAAATATTGTCCCAAGGTCTAAAAGTCCTCAGTCCTAGGTGAGGCTCAGGCACCTGCAATGAGTATCTCAGAGCTGATAGGACACCGAGAGTTACAACCTCTGCTTCGGAGAACCAGCATTGGCAATAAATGGGTTCAACAGCACTTTCTCCCCTTGGAGAGGAGGACTAAGAGCCAGGGCACACAGAGGAAACAGCCATGCCACAGCTGGTCAGTTAATTAACTTAATTTTAACCAGGTCCTCTTGGGTTATTTCACTGCAGCTGTGTCTGCTGGGAGTGCCGGGTGCTGTTCCCTGCTGCAGCCTTGTCTCAAGCAGTAACCTGGCTCTGGAGCTGTATTTCTCCATACTCATCATATAACTTGCTTCTGCCACCAATCCACATAATTTTCCCTATTATTGAAGTAGTAAAATCAACCTCAGGAGCTCAGAGTCTGCAAATGAGGATTGAGAGTTCAGAGTCTGCGATTGTCTTGTGCAGTTCAGTGACACATGAAAGGAAAGAAAAAAATAAAGTCCCATTAATAGAATAAGTCCTCAATAATGCCACCCAAACAAACTTCCCACCCAAACCAGTGCTTTTTAAAAGATCGATTAAAAAAAAAAAAAAAAACCAAACAAAAAAAAAGGCAGGAAATGCTAGCAAATCTACTCCTTCCCGGTTGCAGCTGCAATTCTACTTTCAAACACGACTCTCTGGCTTAGGAGACCGGCATGGATTTATATGACTGCATGCTACTTTTCCTGCTTTATTCAGTGTTCAAAATGGCTGCAAAAAGGAGCTAAACCAGAAGCCCAGTGATGCAGTCCTGGCCGTGGAGCCATTGCTTCCCTCTGTCCTCCTGCCCTGCGTACACGGGGGGGGGCTGGGAGCAGCGATGGACAGGATAGAGGTGACTGAGACCACTTCCTTTCTATAGCTAATGTGTGCATCAATGGGTGCGTTAATTTAAGGAATAAACAGTGACCTTTTTTTTAAGTCTATAAAATCAGGAGACTAGCTCCCTTACTAATACCAGCAGAGAGCAAATTGGGGCCCGGGCAATTTTATCAGCTGTGGCTCCAACCCATGGTCTGTCAGAGAAGCGATGCACCGCGGAGAGGATGAGATCTCATCTTTTATTAAAGGCAGCTGCATACTCACTCACAGCTGCATAGTGCCCTTAATAGCAAAAACACCAACTAACATCTTTAAGGGGACAATGTCCGAACAAGTTCCCATGAGGAACAAAAAAGGGATTTTGCTTTAACTTGGAAATATTTACTTTTTAAATTTTTTTTTTTTTTTTTTTTTTTTGTCCTAGTAAATGGCCAAAGCTTTTAAGCTATGCTCCACAGTCCCGCAAGAGCCTCCTCCCTGCGCCGGTGCAGTTGCTGGCCATGCTCCACCATCTGGCTGCTTGGGGAGGGGGCGAGAGGAGGGGAGGGCGGGTGCAGGGGGGATGTATCCCCACCCGGTATTTCATGGATTCCCCTGCACCGAGTGGGGAGCAGCGGGCTGCCACGGGAGCCTCATTATGGAGAGGCACAGGCAGGGGACTGGCTTGGTGACAGCAAGTCTGCTCAGTCGCGGATCAAATGGCTTAATAGAAACTGGATCCAACTGGTCCAGCCTTGTGGGTTTTGATTTAAACTGCAGTTATAAGGTGTGATTAGAGGCGGGGGATGCTGTGCCAACAGCTCAGATGTGAAGCAAAAAACATATATTAAAAAAAAATCCTTCCCCCCCTAAACCTATAGATATTTTTCCATTGTTAACTCTTTGCCTGCCACTGCCAGATACCTGAGGAAATCCTGGGCCATCCGAGGACACCTCCGGTGCTGCTGCTTAAATCTGGGGGCTGTAAGAGGTCTGTCAGCACCGCAGAGGAAATTGGCCACTGAAGTACTAGCATTTATGGGCTTGGTATTAATAATAACCAGAGCAGAGCTTTGTAGGGACCAACCGAGTCTTTCCTGCCCCTGTGCCTGAGAGCAGAGGAAGCAGATGTCCTCCCCGAAGCCCTTGCACTGGCCAGCGATGGCTGGAGCAGGGGCTGTGTTTTGGCTGCCTTCTTTTTGGGTTACTCCTCCACAGTGGAGAAGGAGGCAGTGCTTTTCTGGAAACGGTTAAACAAAGTCTCTTTTTCCTGTCTCTAAGTAGTTGCCCAAAACTCAACAGTTAATTTGGCAAATGGAGACCTCTGGAGATGTTAACACAGTTCAAACCTTCAGCCCATATGGATAAAATCGCAATTCACTAAAATTGCTGGTTCTTTATCTTCATGCGGCATCATCACGCAGTTAATTTCAAGCTTTCCAGTAAGCTGTAATATATCTTTTAACCTAAGAGCTCTTTTGCATGACACTGAAATAGGTCCCAGTCTATATACATCTGCTGCCAATACAAATGTATGGTTCAGCAGCAGTAGAGGATATAAAAGACTCCCACATTACAAATGTAGGAGGCAGAGGATATTTTAGCATGGCAGTGGTTACACTTTTGGCAGCTTTGCTATAATAAACTTTGTTTTCAGAGCCTTAAAATATTCCCTGTGCAGTGAAGACTGACATATTTGCTTTCAGTGGAGCTGTCTCAGGGGCTGGGGCTGGTGAACGGAGCTCAGGAACGTGGGGGAACACAACGAAGATGGAGTTAATATCACCCTATGTTTAAACAGGGTATTTCCTCACAAAATGCAAATATTTACAAATGCTACCAGGTCCTGGCAGGACTATTTCTATGAATGCAGATGGGCACTCAGGAGGTATCTGCACTTAGCGTGCTGAATCCCAGAGCTGCTTCAGGAGCTGGGACCAAGGGAAAGAAGCTAAGTGGGCATGCCAAGGGCCAAAATTATGAGGGAAAAGGGGTGTAAGACACCAACCTTGTGTAGGGAAAGTCTCTGGACACCTTCACTATCTTGCTGTTTGATGGAGATCTCAAGTCACCTGCCAGGATGCCACTGCTGGGTGCCTGTCTGGACCTGAGACGTTACTGCCTCGAAGCGGATGGACCCCGTCTCCAGCTGGCAGGGGGACGTTGGCTCCCATGTGTCACCCACATCATCCTGGACTCTAACGATCCATTCAGGCACCAATTTACCTACAGAGAAACTTCACATGGGTAACTCATACCTTAGTGCGCTCTGGAACTGTAAAAGAAGCTGTGAAACATTGATCCAGGCACTTTTTTTGAGCAGAAAAGGAGAGCTTGTCTCATGCAGCTGACAGGTAAAGGAAGCAGCAGGGACAGCATCACAACTCTAGAGTTGTTGCGTGGTCCTGCCTGATGTCTGCCCCCCCCGAGGCAAGACAGGGTTGTTCTCCAGGTCCTTGGATGCCATCACCGTGATGCTGAGGGCAACGTGCTCTGCAAACAACCACCATCTCCCTTTGTTCTGGGAACTCAGCCCAACGAAGGAAGACGCAAGGAAGATTGCTTTGAAACTTGAGGATGGATTTCCAGACCCTTAGAGCCTTGGCTGAACCAGAGGCAGAGCAGTGAGGAGCAGGAGAGAGGTGATTTCCTACTATCTCTTGGCCCCTACATGCCCAAATTACATTTCCCAGCCTCCAACCTGCAGTAGGAAAGGGGTGAAGTCTTTGTATCCATTCAGATCAGTTCGAACCATCGATTTCTTACAGAAGGTGTATCTGAGAGTTCAGACGGGCCAGGTTTGAATAGCAAAACAAGCATGAAGCCATGCTCTGCAGAAGAAAATACTGGGAAATGGGCAAATGTTGACCTAGCCCAGGATATGGGCTTAGTATCAAACCCAAGAGGAGCTCCAGTAAGTGGGTCCATCAGGCCAGACACCTAGAGATTTCTGTGGGTATGAATGGCCAAGCTTAATAACGGGATAAATAACTGAGCAATGCTGTTTTGTGATGTTTTATGTATCCATATGGGCCCAGAAATTCAACCCTGCTAGTTACAGTTCCAGCAAGGAAAAAACACTTCTTACCATCAAGCCTCCTTAGAAAAGCTCATTGCTACTTGTGCTGAACTTGGATGGGGTGTTGGTATGGAGGATTTTGAGAGCATGTGACGGAATTACAGTTTCATGCTAATCTGTCCTTATTGTGTGCTATTAAAAATAAATAAAAATTGTGGCTTCCTAATACACAAGTTACTAACTGTTGGAAAAATGTGTTTGTCACGGCCTTAGCAAGTGCTTAAAAGTGTCACACTTTTGTATTTATTTATTAGCAAGTGAATGTATTAAACTCATTGTTACTAACCTGACTAGATTGCAAAACCCATGCAGCTCCTCTTGCAGGACAAAACTATCACATCTTCAGAAGAAACCCTGCACCAAGCAAGGCTGCAGTTGCAGGGCTGTGCAAAGGATGACCTGACTCCTTTTTCGCATGGACAACAGAGGGGGGTGTTTGTCAGTGCCTCAAATGTTATTGCCTGAGGCAGGTTTGTTTGGGATTCCTAGGAAGTAAAAGAGAAAATAAGTTGTTTTAATAGCAGATCAAGTATCAAAGGAATAAAAATAACCAGGTACTTTTGCAACCTGCAGGCTGAGCCCTCTACCATGAAGCCAGGTGTATATTCCTGCCTGGGGTGAAACTCCCCCCAGTTCAAAGAGGCAGCACGACGGCACTGGGGCTCTGATCTCCACAGATGCGTGAGGCCCGGGAGAAGGTCTTGATTTCAAACTTCAGAGAAGCATTTCTGTCTTATTCCCCTCTCCTACCAGCAAGGTGAGGCAGTTCCTAAGGGGAAATCCTGCGTGGACCAAGAAATGCTTTCCTCCTCTCATCTTTGCAGCACAAGACAAGGAACCAAATGATGTCCTAGATGTGAGCAATGAACAAGACTGAGCATCTTCCACCAGGACTGCAAGTCCTCCTGCAGGGACACTGCTGTCCTCTGCACACACACACAACAACGGGGTCCTGTGCCCTCAGAGGAAGGACACATTTGCCAACATTTTGTCAACTGGTGAAAAAAGATGACCTAATCCTAGAAATAAACATAACCCCAGTCCCTGATTCACTGAACAAACCTTCCTTTGAATACCTCTCACACCAAGAAGATGCTTAGGTTCAGCCTCTGCTGATTCTTCTGTCCCAGCATACGGTGGGGCACCAGCTACCCACTCCTGATTGGCTTGAAGGGTAACTCAGCAGCACAAATCACCTCAAGTTACCTTGGCCACGGAGCACAATGGATCCTTCCACAATGAAACAGCATGGCAGGAATTATCCCAATCCATAATTGCTCTGAGCAGACAATAAACCAGCTCATGCTGGTGGAAGTAGCCACTTGGAGGTAATAACCCAGTGAGTAACAATAATGGCAGCAGATACTTGATAAAAAGCAGGGAACAAAAGAGAAAGCTTTCTCCATTATAGAAAGAACGGATGTTTTCTGTTTGCTTCCTTCGATTCAGAAATGCATTTAGCTATTTGGAGAGCGATGGAGTACAGCTCACCCGCACGCACAGCAAAAGTGGGTTTTGGGCTGGGGGAGGAAAGGATCGTTTTCCACTAGTGAGATCATGAGCAGCAAAATTAGTTTTCTCCTTTTAATCTTTCTCGGATTTCTGCCCAGCCACTATCCAGGCATTTTATTTTCTTCAAGAGAAATGTCTGCATATTGGTGGGGAAAAAAAAACAGACCTGCTCTGGGGTGCTTAAAATTGGGTATTGAAATACAGATGTGCTTGCTCCCCCCACCTATACTCTGCAAGTGCCCAAAATGGGGCGATGATAGGAATGAGCCATGCTCATCTGAGGAAAATCCCCAAAACCTGGGGCTTGCATGTGCCTCTTGCTCCTGCACGTGGCTTTTGAGCCCTCGCCGCTCACACCAGGAGCCTGGCCCCTTGCCGTGTAGCCGCTGGCCTGCGGCTCGCTCCCCTGGCCCAAGCCTGGAGCTTACATGGGGCTCTCGCCCGCCAGCCCTTGCTGAGTTGGTCTCTGAGAGCAGGATACCAGGCAGGGAAAAACAGAAATCACCCCACACTCCTCAAGTGCCACAGAGGGTGCTGGCGTGGTGAGGGCAGGCGGACGGTGACACAGCCCCGAGGACATTTATTCTTGTGGCTCCGGCTCAGCAGCAAGTGCCTGGTGCCAGCGCTCCAGTGATGCCCATTTCGTGCTTGGGTCCTTCCTGGTTCCCCAGTGATGCCACCCGCTACCTCCTGCCAAGCTATCCCCTCTGCCCTGGGAGGGCTCCTGCGGGCAGGGGCATCGGTGCCCCGAGAGGCGCCCATGAAGAGGGCAGGAGCTGGATGAGATGGACATCGCAACAAAGAGAAATCATCAAGATGCGAAAGATGGAATAGCAAAACCCAGGGGGATCTGAGTGGGGTTTAAAGGTCCAAGTGCCAGCTGGGCACAACACAACCCTGCTCCAGCCATGCCGAGCTTTGCCCTGCAAAATAAATAAGCCTAAAGACAGCCATCTGCAGCGAAGAGTGTACCAGGGGAAGGCTCTGCAGGACTGCAGAGGCTAAGCACGGCTCATTAAAGTGCCGGCGAAATGTGAATGAAGCAGATGAATGGATGAAGAAATGAATGAAGGAGGGAAGAGGAAGTGAATGAATATTGCATTGACTTGGTGCCTTTCATCCTGGGATGACAGAGCTGTGCAGCACAGCTGATGGGCAGGAACCGCGTCGGTACTCCCCGGAGAAACCCCCGGTCAAAACAAATCAGATTATTTCCTGTTGACAGAGCCCTTCAGGGGGAGGTGAAGAGGGAGATACAGCATATGGATTCATATTACTTGAAGCACGAGGCTCTCCCCAAACAAAATCCCTCTGACTCCCCCTTAATCAATGTGACAGATCATTAATTTTTGAGTTACTCTTGTTCTTTCTATTCCAGACACTGTGTGATTTCCATGACAACAACATCCCAGGCCTCTTCCTAACCTCTGTCATCTGCTGTCGAGTCACACCTGTGCCTAACCGGGAGAGACGAGCAGCAGGGCCACGAAGGTGCTTTTTGGCACTGGAGGGGTTAAAGACCACCCTCGCCCCCACTACACAGCCCAACCCTGTGAGCCCCTGGGAACCTCTCGCAGCCAAATGTGGCACAGGGCTTGCAGGAAGCTGTGGGGGAGCATGTGGAAATGAAAAATAATTTTCTGGAGGTTTTATTATACTGTTCTGAAGGGCAATCAGCTGAACACACTGGCCAGCCTGACTGTGACTGGGATGCAGGTGGTTTAAATGGGGGTAATGGGAGGGAGCAGCAAGATGCTGCTGCTCCTGTGGTAATGTAAAGTGGGGTTGGGACTGAACCTGGATGCTTCGGGGAGGAAAGGGAATCCAGCTTCACTTCTGGTTTGGAGGAGAAAGCATGCTCTGTTCTTTTCCACCTTCTGAAGGAAAAACTAGCCTTGGATGTGATCATGATCCTCGAGCACTGCAGGTCTGCAGGCAACTTGGTGTGACTGCCATGAGCAGCACACACAGACTCAGAGGAGCATCCAGCCCTGCTCGAACATGGTACCACTCATCACCTCTCAATACCAGTTTGATCCTGCTTGGCCATATGGACTTGGGGTGTCATCATCCCTGCAGCATTGTTTAGCTGCTCCTCTAGCAGCTGGCTGCCCGCAGCTGCAACAGTGCTGAGCATGACCATAGGAGACATTTTGCAAGAGTTTAGTAGGATATTTAAGGCTGGATGCAAAGCTCAGGAACCATCTGCAGGCTTTGAGTAAGTTTTTGAGCTGACCTCAAGAGCCCAAAGCCTACCACACACCAGGGTCTGGGTACACAGACTTTACCATGCTGAATGAACTGGTGCTGCAAACCTTACTCACATAGTAACTGTCTCTGCTGCTGGCAGGAGCTGGAAGCAAATTGTTTTTCCCTCTTTCATTTATCCTGCTCCTTCCAGCAAGCAGCTTCCCCTCTGAAAGGCCAGGGAGTATTTAGGGTGGCTGAGTGCCACTGCAGGACCCAGAGCCCAGCCAGGCAGAGCATCTCCCACCCTGCCATCGGGAAGGGGCTGTGGCACTGCACACAGGGATGGCCAGGCATCATGCCTCGTCTGAGCTGTCAGGTAAAGCACCTTTGTCTGTCCCTTCTCCAATCATATCACCCTTTTGATTCAAACACAGTTTTCATCCCGATGCAACATGTTTTTTTTCCTGCCAGAGTTTTGCAGCCCTGCCTCCATAACAGCCTGCATTTTTCATAAGCCGCGTCGAATTTCATGGTAACCCTGCAGAGTTATTGCCCTATAACAAACACAATTGCTGCACTAGATTAAGCACACTGCATATCGTATCCAAATATTAATGAGCACCAAATGTAGGGCACCGAGCCTGCTTCCCTGTCTGCCCACAGGGAGTTTGGCCACTGGGTTCGGCGGCCGCAGGACTGGACCCAGACAAGGGGATCCATTTGCAGACTGGGCCAGCAGCTTCCTTGTGTGAGGCTGGCTGCTCAAAAACTCTGTGCTGGAGTTCTTACAGTTGCTTTAATAAAGACCATTTATTTAGCTTCCCTTTACACCAGGACAGAAGAGATGCTCTATCCTGCCATAACTCAAGCTGAATTACTTTACCTGACTGTTAATGCTCCGGACTTGGGGGCCGGAGGCTCTCAGTTGAATTTTGGACCAGTTCCTTGGCCCGGCACTGTGAAACAGCTGGCTGGGTTTGGAGGTAGCATCTGTGCTCACGTTGCGGTGACTTCCCCGAGTACTTCAAGGCAAACTGCTCCATGAGGGACCTCAGCCAGAGCTGGGACATCTTTGGTGCTCACAGGTCTGAGACAGGACAAATCTTTGCCAGTAGGAACCGCTCATGTTGATACAGGGCTTAGCACTGAACTCATATATTCAGACAACTTAATCAAAACCAGAGGTTTAAAATAAGTAATGTGGTAAAACCTGGATTAAACAAGCTATCAATGTCCCCTTTATAACTTAAATAGGGAAAAGAACTCTAACCCCTGGGGTTTACTGGGGACATAGGAGTATAGCCTCTATAGGGAGCTAAGGATATGGCCCAGGTCGGGGGTTAACCCCTTTGCCAGCTCTGCAAAGGGATGGGTGACCCTCGTGCCATCCAGCCTGGAGAGCTTTCTGGAGGAGGGCCAGCTGCACGAAGCACTGGGCGATGTGCTGGGGCGGGCAGGACCAGAGCAGAGCTGCTCCTTCTCAGCTTAGCACCCCCTGAGTGGCTCAGGCAGAGCCAGCCCAGGCTGTGTGGAGCTGGAGCGTGGCTCCCTCCACCCACGCGGACACCGTTTGGGAGAGAGGAAGAGGGAAAAAAAAATGAGAAGACAAATTGAGACTTACCTCTGTGTTTTTGCCTGCCACCCCCATCACTCCCCTTCAGCCTAATCATTCTCTTCCTCTTCAATCAAGGCCAATTTGCAAGAGGAGCAGCTCCTAGCGCGTGAGTGCAAAGCCTTTAATTACTGTCATCTGGGAGGCTGTACCAGGCTCCCCTCTGGTGCCTTTTCATACTTTTCGGAAGACAGTGCTCCAGGACTTGACGCCCCCAAGATGCCATTTGTCAGGCTTTGTTTTAAACAAGCACTCGCTGCCTATTAGGACGCTGGGGAGAAAGTTCCTGGCGGTCCATCTGTGCTGCTGCTGCATCGACATGGTGATTGCATCCAGGCAGTGAGCTGATTTCGGCTGCCTCGACCGGGTACCAGCCTGGCAACCGTCTCCTGCGCGCAGCAGCTTGCTATGCACAAACCCCGAGAACTGCGTTGCTCTGTCTCTTCGCTGTCTCTCCTCCCATTTCTCAACTGGGCTTACATCGGGCATTAAACTGGGGATGGAGGTGAGAGTATAAGTGAGGTCAGAAAGGGACAAGGCAAATCTGGAGAGACCAGGCTGACATAAATGAAGTGGATCCAAAGCATCCTCTCCCACACAAGTCCCCAGGCCTGCATCCCCAGGAGCACACTCCCAGTTGGAATGCATGCTCTTTATGTACAGCAGGGGTTTTGCTATCAGCCAGGGGTTTGTATTTTACCCTGCACGGGAAAACTTGAAGGCAGAACTGACAGAAACCAATTTGGCACACCCAGCAAGCAGCGATGGGAAACCCCCTTGCTGCTGCTGCTGCCTGCCTTGCCATGCTGCAGGCAGGACATGGGGCTGGATGGCCTGTTGGGGTGAGCCAGCATGAGTTGCCTTAAACCCCACCTGAGCTGACGCCTGGGACTCTGCCAACCCACCGGCCTTGCAGCTTGGGCTCAGCATATACTGAGATACAGTGGAAAGGATGCCAGAAGGTTTCCAGGTATCCTGAACCAGCACCTGTGGGATGTGCGCTCTGAATTACATCCAGCAGAGCCATCCTTCTAATATTTCGTCTTTGGAGCATCACCTGTGGCAGAGAAAAGCTGCAGAAGAGGATTTCTGGGGAGCCTCTGCCAGTGGGTGGCACTGCAAAACCAGCAGTATGGAAGAAGCAGCAGAGCAAGGACCTCCGGGTGGAAGAGCAGCACAGCCAAGGAGCATCCCTGGCTCGCCAGCCCCCGGGATCGGGTACGAGCGTTGTGGGGGTGCCGCAGCCTGGCTGGTGGGAGGAGGAAAGCTGCTGGGGATGGGCACAGCGGTAGGTGAGGAGGCGTCAGCAAGGGGGTCGAGGTACTGCGGTGGTGTCGGCCAGCCACAGCAGCCTTCTATGAGCACTGTGGGGTCAGCCCAGCAAGCGGGAGTGCGAATCAATCCACATCCACACGAGACAGAGCCAATTCATGTACACATGGTAACCTTCTCAAAGGTAGGAGTAGTTCATTGGCTTCCCCTTCTATCCTCTCCACAGCTAAAAATCACATAGTATGTCACACCAAAATATAAGGTCTCAACTCTGGGAACTAGATAGGCTCCTGCCCCCTACCCTGTAACCCCAGTGAAGAACATGGGTGTAGTGGGTGTAAGAGCTTTTTGGCCATCTTGCCTGTAGGCACAAGACCCCTGGAAGCACCACAGCCACCAAAGATGTGCACCAGCCAACCATGACCTAGGGGACTGGGAGCCTGGAGGGAAAGTGTGCTGCACTGCACTCATGTCACCTCCTAGCCAAGTGGGAATTAAGGATCCTGGGGCAACAGGGTAAACCTGGTGAGTAGCAAAGCAGGCTCTAATCTGGAGGCTGGCCTGACCTGACGGTCCATGTCCAGGTGTAAAGTTCTGCTCCAGTTCTAAAGTGGCTGTGCTCCCGCGCCACACATCCCTCCTGTCACAGATTTCACCTCCCTTTGCACTGCATCTACATCTGATGTCCCATCTCTAGCATTCCAGTGTTGCCTTGACCAGTTAATTCTCAGAAGGTCTTCAGTCAGATTTCATATCCCCATCCAGCTAAAAATGCTCTGACCTGTCCAAAGCAGTAAATGCTCAGTTTTTCTGCCTGTCACTAGCAGGCAATGAACAAAGGAGCATTTTCTTACTCTCCCCCCATAGTGTCCCAATGGCAGCTGGGAACCACAAAGCATTAGAGCAGTGGGCTTATGTATCCCCATCACTACATATGTGACTCAAGGACCACGAGGCTTTGTGCTCAGGTGGAACACCTTTGAAGAGAAACACAGAGGGACAGGGAGAGGTAGCCATGAAAGAAAAACCACCTCTCTTTGGCCATGCAAAGGGAATTTGGCTCTGAAGGGCTGTAATATCTGCCTGGCGGGTGGCAGCACCATCTGACAGCCTCTGCCTCCACAGGAAGAGCCACCATTTCCCTATGCAGCATCTGCACAGCATCTCTGCTAACGGGTATTTTCTCTGGCAGGAGCAAAGGCTTCATCCAGTGGGTTGTGGACTAGCAGGAGATATGGGAATGCAACCTCAAAAGGAATTTTTCCCATATCAGAGGGTTTAAAGATATGGCACCAGGGTTTCCTCCAGCATCTTCCTTCTGCAGGGAACATGCTGACTGGCATGGCGGGGGTGGCTGCAAAATCCCATCTCCTGCCTGCCCACCTTCACGCTTACAGAAATGCCTTGGTACAACCCACTCCAGACTGGGGAAGAGCTTCGATCTGGCCCTTCTGCTGCAAACAGATCTGATTTGCTCCTAGCGCTGAGCGCTCTGTAATTACAGTACATCCCACTTAATCGGGATGTGCTTAATTGGGAAATCCACTTACCAGGATGTCACCTAGGGAACCGATTTAAGCTTGATAATACTTAAGAGCAATGCCTGCTGCTTTATAGAGAAGGTAAGTCTCTTACAGGGAGATGCCTTCAGGTGGCTGAATCATGCTCCTTTCACCAGCATTTAATGCTCCTGGCTGCTTGCTCCTGCAACAGATTTCAGCCTTCCCCTTAAGTAGGTTACAGTCAGGAAATGCACTAACTGCTACTGCCAGCTCACGGCTGTTCTCTGCACCAGCGGAACAGGCTGCCACTGCCACGTGGCTCATGGTTGCCCCCTTGGCTGGACCCACACACTCAGCACGTCCGACCCCCTTCCCTGTTTGAAAATGGCTTCCCTCCCATGGCTGGGACCTTTTTTGAAGAGGACAATATATTTAACCTTGGCCAAGCTGTTCTTTGCAGCTGAAGAGGGGCCAAGGTGACCCAGCCATCACATGAATCAGGGCAGAGCAAAAGCTTTGGAGACAACCAGCATATCTTACCATTAACCTCAACACTTGTCTTCCTCCCTCTCCCCTCCAACAGTCAAACACATCAAATGCTCAAGTGAAGGGAGGAAAGGGAACATGGGAACAGCTCTTAAAGACTGAACGTTGAGTCAAATACTTGGAGAGGCCGCATTTTAAGCCATGTTTTAACCTTTCTACAGGAAGAGGGTTTATGTGCCCACACTGAATATTTGTTCGTGACTTATAGATACTGCCGATACAGCTGAACCTCCTGATCAAACTAGGCAGAGAAGCAGCTTTTCCAATGGTAACAAATTCCCACACATTTTGTAGCAATAAGAGCCAGACAGAGGAGAGAAGCCCTATGAATATCCAAAATCTCATGAGCTGTCAGTGACTTGAGACAGCATTTTTGTAACCCCAAACCCCCATGAACCACACTTCCTTGTTAGAGGGATGCCAATTGCTGCAAGACCATTACTCCTCCAATCTTTTGGCTCTGCCTTGCTTATTTCTGTTCTCTTCAATCGGACTACTTTTTTTTTCCAACTCCATGAAAATACACTGCTCCTCTTCTAAAGGCAAGCCCTTGGCTGGAGGCTGCCTTTGCTACCGAAATATCTGTACTTTATGGCAACAGCACAACACAACTTTTCAAGATGCTGTGCTGGTGTTTTTATTCTCACCAACCACGAGGAGCTGGGGGAAGTCAAGCCGAACTCTTTGGATGCGTAATAGTGATTGCCTTTCAGACACTTGAAAATGCAATAGCTTGGCATCGAATGAGGGATTTTTATGGCTGCACATGTTTTGTACTTCTCTGAACAAGCCAACTTCCAGATTAGCTACATTGGCTTTTTAAAGTGCTATAAAATATGCAAAAGCACTTGTAATGTACAGTGATTTCTGTAAAAACAGGAGATAAGTGCTGAAATGTCTCCTGATTTATCCTTTTGCTTCTCCTAACCCATGCTGGGAGAAGGGGTAAATGCAATCCTTGACTCTCTTTTCGGCTTATCAATCTTCCAGCCCAGAGATAGACAGGAGACAAAATGCCAGGTACTACAGTCCTTGTGCCCTTCAACCACTCTGATAATCGCAGAAGAGAAAAAGCTCTCCAACTCTGAGTATCGCAACCAACACCAAACATAGCAAACACCTTTCCAAGGTGCAACACGACATGAGAGGCAAAGCTCGACCGTCACAGCAGCACGCGGCTGGGCAAGAGGAGCCGGGCAGCACTTCCCACAAAGGTGCTGGACCTAACTCTGGATGGAGTGTCCAAAAGAGCAGATCACCATGATGAACTGCATTAGAAGGGTCAGGCCTTTGCTCTCTTGACAGCAGGGTCACCTCCTCGTCCCCTTGTCTTGTTCCTGTCCCTCTTTTCCTTTATGCTGCTATAACATAATCAGAAACCCACAAGGCTGTGTCGTGGGATTGCTCCCCCCATCACCTGCTTGTGTTGGCTTAAATATGTGTGGCTCTACCATTACCAAGCATCAATTCCTCAACACAGATGTCTCAGGGGCTGGGCTTACTTTTTGCTAAAACTGAGCTGGGCAGAGGTTTGGCAAAGGAAAACATCCCAGCAACCGAGGCTCCTGTTTTGAGTCTGGGTGGGAGTATGGAGTATTAGTTCCAGCTCCACTTTAGCTTGAGGAGAACAGTATCATTTATCAGAGCCAAACAGGTTCTTCCCCTCCCCTGCCACAGAGCCAAGCTGTCCCCTCACCATCCCAGGGCCACTTTGCCGGTGCCAAGGCAATGATGCCACCGGCAAGGGCTCGGCCGCCGCTGCCGTGGCTGCTCCGTGCCGCCCCGCGCTTCTGGCAATCAACGTCACAGTCGTTACCGACTGACACAAAGGCGAGCGTCGTAGCCCTTATCTGGCACCCAGCTCACGGCAGTCAGGTTCAGGCAAGTGCCTCTGGAACAGAGAATGAGTATTTATGGGCTGGAAGTTTTTAAGTGCGTGCCTTAGTGCCATGCATGTTCAAACCCATCCATCCCCGCAGAGCAATTGCAGCTCTCAGTTACCAGTATGAACAGGTAAACCCAACTGGACTGCCTCTTAAATCCATTTTTACACGTATGAAAGGGTGATCAACAAGCTGGAGGGTCAGCAGACCTCAGATCTTTAAATTAACCAGGTATGTCTTTATATAAAAGCAACACATATTTAGCACAGTTGATGGGACATGGATTTTGTGTGCTTTGTTAGCGCGAATTAAACGTAATTGTTTAACAACTGCCAACCAGCAAAATGCATCCCTGCATCCTGAAATCTTGTGGTGTCATGCTCCCCCCACCACCCCCAGCCTGGCCTGTATTTCCCATAACTGGGCTCAAGTGATACCCAGCAGGAGCAGTTGTAATGGATGTGTCTGGTTGTGTGGATTCAGTGGAGACAGATAACTCCACAACAGCCAAGGGCTAATTTGAGCGATGCACCCACCTAACCACAGTTCTGGTTGATGCCTGACTCAAGCCAAATTTGGAAGAAACTAATGTCTGTAGTTGGTATGCAAATGTGACTATAAGTCAATTATATTACTCCATAGATAGTGGACAGCCCAGGGCCCATTGAGCTCTCCTGCACAGCAGCATGCTGCATGCCAGGCTCTCCCTTTGAGTAGGAATGCCGCTCAGGGTTACTCCTAGAAGTTCAGAGAGTCCTTATCAGATCAGATATTCAGTAAGGGAATTGGGAGTAAGTGCCCTGAGACTTTCAAATCTTAGCTAAGTGATACAGAGGACTGATTGTACACATATAATCCTTTAGACATAAATTGTTCATCAACTCTGGGACTAAGTCTGGATCCAACTGCATCTAAGCTCCTCCCTGAGAAGGAGTTTAGAATGCAGAGGGGTCCTTTCTGAACCTCATGACTTGACAGGAGAGTCTCCTGGGAAGTTTTGTCTGACCCTGTCCTCTATGCAGTAAATAATCAAGTGTACCTTGCCATCGAATCTTGTTAAACCACTGTTGAATTTACTATCAAACTTTGTTAAACTGATGTTTTATACCAATAAACATATTGCTACTTCTCTCTTACAAGTGAAGTACGTCACTCCATCCACGACAAAGCTGTTTGGCACGACCAAGGTTAAAACACAGAATGTTTTTAAGATTTTCAGTGCATTTTCTGTAAGATAAGAAGTGCTAAGTCTAGCACTGGTAAGTGTGACCTGGTTGGACTTTGAACCTTCTCATGCCACCATCAGAATTATGGAGGCTCATTTGAAAACACCTCAGTTACTTAGTTGTCATCATGTCAGTAAGAGGAATATGATGGGAGAGGAGGAGATGTGGAAATGGGAGAGCTTCCTCAAACATCACAAGCTGAATAGAGGTTCTCCATTTCCAAACAGATCTGCTTGAGCCATCTGGGATGAAAACATCTTGTCTCAAAGTCACAGCAAAACCAAACCAGCCTCAGCCCTGCCCGGCGCCCTCGAGCCTGCGCTGGCTTTGGGGCCCCCTCTGAGGACTGATCAACTCCGGCACCCCAGCTTGTGTGTCCCTGCCCCAGGTGTCCCTACCCGGGGGTGACAAATCAGACAGGCAAAATCACACCAGCCTCCCACCGAGCCAGCTCTATGTGCTGCAGACACACTGGTGAAAACAAGCACCACACATGGGCACACACAACCTGCAACTGATTTTACAAGACGTGGTATAAAAAATACATAGAAAAGGCAGGATCGAGCCTTATGTGTTAAGGGCTCCTTCATTTATACTAGCAGCTCCTGTGACATGGTCCCCACTCCATCTTCAGGGTGCCAGAAGCCTCTCCTTTTGTCATTTCTTTGTGGGGGTGACACTGAGCCAGTGCATAGCAGAGGAGAAGCTGTATGAGAAGCTCTGGCTCTCCTGCTGAAGTCCTGGGACCCAAGCATCCATTCTTTTCTTTTTGAAAAGACTGGGGATACAAATCTGTGCTTTCCAGATAATTGCAAAGAGCTGGAATGGCAAAACTTAGCAATATTTGCTAATTGCAAATATTTGGAGACGTGAGTCCAAACTGGATTGATGCACCGAGTGTAAACGTGGGCAGGGGCAGGGAGAGGGCTCTAGGCACTCCAGCATCTCACAGCTAATTAAATCTGGTAGGAATTTGTCTCAGCAAGTTGTGAGCCATTTACTTCTCTGGTGTGACTAAGTTACTGTGCGGTATCTAATTTACTAGGAGGGGTGATGTGCTGCCAGCTAACCATGTTCCTGTAGCTGAGGTGGGCTAATAGAATATAGTTTGATGCTTCAGGGCAATCCTACTTGCCAGCCTACCTGCGCCATCCCAATGACAGTTGGCCTTGCAAACAGAAAGACAACCCAGTGGGAATTTTAATTGCAAAGGAGTATTCAAAGAATCCTGAAAAAATCCAAGGGCCTGACCAGAACAACAGGTTCTTGTGGTTTTTTGTATGGCTGTTTTTCCAGCGATGCAAATTGGGTTCTTGCAAGCAAGCAATGCTGAAACATGCTCTTACCACCCGCAGGACCTCGAGGCTCCCAACCTCCTCCAAGTGCCGTCCTTAGTCATGGTAGGAAAACTGTGGCATTGCCTTGTCTTGTACTAGTGATGCAAATATCAAGATGAATTTCTCCATAAATAGCTCGTTACCAATGATTCTTTCCTTTGTCTCTGGCTCCAGCTGAAGAGAAGGAAATCATTTCATCAGGAGCTGCACATCTGACAGCAAAAAGGACATTTATCAGAGAGTACAATTGAGTTACAACAAATGTTGGATTTTGGGAACTGCCCTCTGCACACCATTGCTCTCCTAGGGGAAGGGTGGAGGAACTCAGAAGTCCCAGTTTCCATTTCATTTCCCCATTGTTTCTCTCAGCTGAAAATGCTTTTTTCCTTACTTTTCCAGCCCAACCCTATACACAAGCTCATCCCGGCTGTCGGCTGGCCCCATTTTGCAGCTATGCCAGTTTTGGCTCATTTGCTGAAGCATCAGCATGGCACAAGGGCCTCTGCCCTTGTCAAGAGTAAGAAACCAGCCGCATTTCAAGGTTTTCAGGGGCACCCCACACGCACACTGGCAGCCTCCAAAGGTCCCTTTCTTAGCACCTGGGAATCCCCATCTACCCCCCTTCTCCTGGGACAGCCTGCACAGGATTGGAGGTGACCTTGCTGGCTGGACCGATGCTGTCACCACTATATTTTGCATGGGTCTGGTGGCACCTGTCCGCAGGCAGCACTAAAGCCAGCCAGCCCATGTCTCTGCAGCAGAGAGGCTCCCAGGGGACAGGCTGAAACTGTTCATCTGGAGACAGAGATCATTTTTAGAGGGAAATCCTGTTCACTTCTCAAAATGAGGTAGGTTTTTACTGACACATGTCCTCAGCCAAATGCACTTGCGGTACCAAATGCATCACTAAAAGAAAAGGATTTGCTGTGTCAAAAGGGAGCTGTGGTTTTCAAAGCTAACAGGGAGAAAGTGCACTGTAAATACCTGGAGGAAGCGTAGGCATGGCTTATTAATAGACACTTGCTGTGAGACTTCAGGCTGTATGACAAGGCTTTCACTGTCCTCCTGATGTCCTCAGATACCCTGTTCCTGTACTGAGCACTGGTCTCTGTAACCATGCAGCACGCCCATCAGACCTGCCAACTTACAGATGGGGCACAGAAGATGGGTTAATGCAGCTTATACTAGTGCTTTAACCACCCGAGCATCCACCAGCCGTCCTCAGCTGGTGGGGAGAAGCTCCTGTCCCTGTCACTGGTTCATATAAAGGATCCAGCCAGGGATTTTAACAGGACAGAGTAGGGCCCAAGGAAGACAAGCAAGCATGCCAAGTAGGGTCATTGCCTAAAAACCTGAATTGCAGAGGCTTAACATTGAACAGCAAGTATGAGTTATTTTTATTATCTTTACACCATGGCTCAACCTCTCATTCCCCAAAAGGCTGCACAAAGTACTTGCTGTCTGGTTTTTCTCCTGTGCTGCTGCATAGAACTGCTGTCGAGACAGCTCCTGAGTTTTCCATCAGAAGCTGCTCCCTGATATTTAAGACTATTATGAACTGGACCGGATTTATGCATTCCTGCGTAGCAAAGCCTTGCCCAACATAGGGTGCCTATATCCTTTGACTTCTTTCCCCATGAAAGCCATAACAGAAAATTAACACCCTACTTAAGTGAAGGAACAGTAACCAGTCTATACACTGACACACTACAGGCATCTTGGCGTGGTCACACATGTTATTTTTTTTTTTTTCAGATACAGGCTTTTCTTTCAACCAGCATATCAGATGGACTGTTTTTGGAGAGCAGTTGACTACTTGCCTAGGGAGGCAGGGAAAACAGTCCTCAGGCAGCCCTCCTGCCCCAGGTGATGCTGATGAGAACTGGTTCATGTGCAGTAAGGGAGCTTCTCAGAGTCTCTTCAAACTCATGAGCTATTTCAGTATTTCTCCTCCCAGCTTGTAGATTGCTCAAGGCCCAAAGATGCACAGACTCATGTTATTAAATGGTTATTTCTGTTGACATTCTTATTTTTAGGAAACATTATTGAAACATTCACCATTACTGCTTAGAGGCAATGGAAGAAGAGGCGAGCTCCAAATTCTGGGCGACGGAGACCTCGAGGCAGGCAGCCAGGCTGGGCTGGGACGTGGCCCGGCTTCCCTACTGTGTTTACAATCTGTGCCTTGAGAAGGGACATGAATGAATCGTGGCAGTGTCCTTGGCAGCTGCGGAGTGTGCAGCGGGCTGGCGCTCTCCCCCTCCGGTCGGCCACACCGACCCTTCCCCAAGGGGTTAAAAGCATCCATGTGCTGAAGATGGGCTGGGATCAGCAGCAGCCAACATAAACAGAACTGCACTCAAAGAGACTGTTGAGCACTCAGGGATGCTGCCTTTGCCCGGGATGCTGACCTGAAGGGACAGGCAGAGATAGACAGCCTCTCCCCTTCAGTTCACAGGGGAGAGGGACAGGAGGCAAGCTGTGTTTCTTCCTCAAAACTGGTTTTGTGGCTTTGTGCTGAATCCCTCTCCATTTTCTCCAGCATTAAATGCCTTTAAATGGACTGTTTGCTTCCTCGGAGTGCTTGGAGCTGATTCTCCCTTGTTGGGCCAGCTCTGGCCGCATCCCTAAATAGAAGGATTTAAATTAAAGGTGAAATTTGTAGTCTCAGCACTCTTTTTACTGCTCCTGAGTGCTCGTGATATAAGCCCAGCAGCAGGCAATACCTGGATCCGTGCATTTGTTTCTTTGCTGCTGCTGGATGTCAGGCAGGCTGCAGAGAAGAATATCCTGAAAGAGAGAGAACAGGAGTTACTTCACACTGAATAAACCCATTACAAAATACGTTCCTCTGACATCTGCTTGCTGGTGGGGAAGCACTGCAGGGATGTTGAGTTGGCCTGTTAGCAGCCTCGTGCCTTTCTGCGCTTCCCTGACATGGGGTTGGGCTGGCTCCATCATCGCACCCTGACATGCTTTGGTGCTGCTGAAAGGACTGGTGGATAGTTCCTCAGCTGCTTTTGGTGACGCAGCCGTGGTAACCCACGGGACCTGGAACCAGTCGCCCTGAGAAAGCCACAGGTCTCAACCCAGCAGCCACCTAACAGAAGCCATTTAACGTACCTGGCAGCAAATGAAACCCTCTTGAGCAGCAGTATCAGGGTCACAGAGGCTCAGCTAACTTCTTCCTGCTTTCCATCCACCCCAGGCTGAAGGGGACACATCAGAAGCAGTGCTGGAAATGTCACCCACTGGGTGGTGGCTGCAGTGCTGTCACCTGGGGGTCTCTCCTGGGCCATCCTCCCCTGCCTGCTACACCTGGCACAGCAGCGGGGGGGCTGCCCACCCCCCCCAGGGAGCCACTTCTCAGGAGGAACCACCGGGTGACAGCTGGCTAGAGAGGGAAAGCACACTTTTGGGGAGGCTTTTGCATTTTAGGAGCTTTGGAAAATTGTACATAACTCCAGTTTTGCCCCTTGCAGTAATCAGATGAATATTTCTGCAATATCTGCCAGAAAACTAAGTGTGCCACCAAAACACAGATGTGATGGAAAAAAAAAAAAAAAAGAAACTGTATTTTAGGTTGAAGTCATCATATTCCCTCACTGATTTTCATGTGGATGGTATCATAAGCCTAGATACCATATTAATTCACACATCCACAGCTGTACACACATGGGCACACATGCTAATTGGCAGCTAATATGTCCTTTTTCCAGGACTGCCAATATCGAAACACTCCTATCCTCTACAAAATAATTTTCTGAAGCACTGATGTTGACCTGTGAGAGGCCGTTGAGTGGCCCATCCTCTCTGCAGCCCACACCAGGCAAGTGCGGGATGCCGATGCCGGAGCAGCGGGGCCGCGACTGCCCCGTTGTGCGAAACACGGTGCGCTGAGTGCAACCCAGAGCACTTGACTGCAAAGACCTGAGACATGCTTAATAGTGCTCTTGCACTGTTCGCCCACTAAGAGCCTTAACTTCTTACTGCATTATGCCGGGGTTTAGGCAAAGCAGGGTTCCCAGCAGGACACTGGATAGATTTCCTTTCCCATGAAAAGAGACTTATGCCTTCACGTTTGTTCTTTGTCCCCAGATCCCATTTTTTCCAGGTAGAGGAGAGAGGAATTTGATGGATTAGAATTAAGGAGGTGTTGTTCTGAGCAAGGAGGGGGACAGGAAGGTTAATGCAGGATGTGGCTGCATTGCCCAAGGAAGAGATGCTTTAATAGGAAAAGCCTCGTGAGAGGAGAGCTTTAGAGTTCTTCTCTCCTGTCTAGCAGGTGGGTATTTACAGGCACACGCTGACTGAGTTTACCTGGGCTAGAGGTGACTGGACTTGAGTAGATCCCCTCTTACCATGCAGTGATGCTCATCAGCAGTGAGTGGCTATAGGAGTGGGTATTTGTACTACCTGCATTAGGAAGCCTCACTGCATCTATGCATCAGGAAGGAGCTGCTGACAGGACCACAGAACTCATATAATAAAATATAAGTAACTGCCAGTATATAATATAACCCTTCCCAGGCCTCCAGCACCATTAACTCCAGAGCCCCGAAGCACTGTACAAACAGTAATTAAAACTTCCCAGCCCCCAGCTTTGCCAACGGTGATGGATTCATTTGCCAGTGTGGGAAAATAAGCCTTGCATGATTAAGAGAGACAACACAATTTCAACAGCAGGAGAAGTTGCTGGTGAAACATAAACTGTGGTGTGAACCCTAGTCCTTCACTTCCAACAGGAGGCTCTTCAAGACAAGAACAAGCTGTGGGTCTCTTTCCGTCATGTACAGTATGCCTATCTATCCCTGTAATAGGCAACACAAGACTAACCAGGTACATCTATTCAGTCCCAGTGGTCACAGTCCAACTTGCTTTGCAAAATTAAAGTCTTCAGGGAAATGAGGAGCACTGGCAGAATATGGCAAGAGATGCCTGTGACAAGCCCCTTGTCCAATTGCTCTTCCTGGAGCATCTCTGTGCCTTTATCTAACACTATCAAGTTCAGAGTTCCTTCTGCCACCCTGATGACCACATGGCTGATTTCCTTCCCCAGAAACATGCTACCAGAAACATCCTTCAAGAAGGAAAGGGACACTTGAACGTACAAGAGCTTGTCTTAGTTCAAAGCCTGCCTGCACACCAGAAACACTGACCCTTTGCTTTCTGGTTTACTTAACACAGTAACAAAAGTTCAACATCAAAACAGCCTGTGCATCTCCTGGTTCCTGCCTGCTCCATGCTCTCCAGAAACCCTTGGAGAAAAATCATGCAGTGTCGGCTGTGGATGCAGCCTTTGGCTTCAGGATGAGCACGTAGCAGCTGCTCAGCAACATGTGCTGCTTCAGGTGCCAGTGGACAGACAGTAAAAATCACCTGGTGGGTTGCTCCTGACGACAGGGTTTCACTGGAGCCCTTGGCCAACATCTCTCCTTTCCCATGGTTAATGTGCTGGTCACCAGTTCCAACCTGGGAAGTGCCTGGTTCCTTCCCTTCTATCCCACCACCACCTTGCAGGTTGGCCAGCCAGATCCCACCCTGACTGTTAACAGCTTGGTGAATGTTTAAGGACCTTTTGGGAGGAAAAAGTAATTTTAATGCTGTCTTGAGGAAACAGTGTATCTCCCCACTCTGCCGCCACTGCCTTAAAAGCACTGAGCCCAGAACCTGAACCTCCAGTGGGACTTCCCTGGGGTGTACACTGGGCTGTCTGGTAACCCCAGAGAGGCCACAGGTCTTGCTGAGAGGTCCTGCTGCAGAGGGGAAGGGTCCAGACAACCAGGAGGTTCAGCTTCCCCCCCACTGTTGGGCTGTTTCCAGACACATGCCAGCACCACCTGCATCTGCTCACTCCAGGGAGTGCTCCAGCAGTCTCCCAGCAGCTGGGGAAGTGCTTACGGAGCTGGCAGTGCTGCATGGAGGGTTATTTAGTTATTTGTAATGGATTTTCCATACCTGTCATTATTTCCAGCCCTGAGTTGAGAGAAGGGGATAGAGACACTTCTAGGAGACTGGCTGGCTTGAAGGGTTTTGGTGAAGCCTGTGGTTTTGCAGTTTAGCTCTGGAGAGGGCTGGGGACTTGCTGCGTTTCTCTCATCATTGCTGCAGGTTGATCCCCAACGAGAATAGGGATCCAGTTTGGGCTTGCTGTGCTTTGTGTTTAAAAGGGAGAGTCTTCTGTAAAGGAAAAGAGAGACCTGGAACTGTGCTGCTTTCATTATGCTTTCTTTGAGGCTAAGTTAGTTGTTGGAAATCAATGCAACCATGAAGAAAGCAGCCTGTGGGACTCTGCTCAGAGCGCCTAATTCCTATTAAAGATCTAGGAAGAGCTGGGAGAGAAGTAGCAGCATGGCAACAAGGAATGTTCCCTGTGGGTGATGTGATTTCAGATTAATTTCTCCATGAAGGGGGTTTCCTGCTTGCCCAGCAGGCTTTGGGGAGGCCAGGCAGGCAGAGCAGAGGGGGAATTCCCCTGCACCAGCAGTTTCACAGTCCCCACTCCACCACCTTTATAGGACTCAAAATGCTTGCTTTTCACTCCAAGCCAAAATGATGTCAAGCTACAAATATCAAAATCCTTCAGGCCGAAGCCATGTTCTTCCTCTATCCCTGCTCTGGTCTGAAAGGCTGTTTCCTAGCTCAAGATGCCCTATTGGAGCAGTTACTGTAAGAGAGACATCTGTGATGCTCCCAGCAAGGCTCTGCTGCCTGGCACAACTGTGCCAGCACAGCCCTGCCGCTGACTTCAGCTCCCCTATAGTGGTGGGGCTGGTGGGCAGAAACTGGACAGAGCTGGACCTGGCAGGGCACAAGGTTTCTGCTTTGATGGCACCCTGTTTTTGACTTGCAAAGTCACTAGAATTCTGACAAAGCCACAGGGAAACGGGAGCGTTGCTCCAATAAAACTGGTTTCATGGGAAATGGTTTCCCAGATGGCAGCAGAAGATGGAGGAGAGCCCACCCTCACCCAGAAACACGTGGCTGAGGGCCACTTCTGCCAGGAAAGAAGGTGGCACAGGGCTGAAAAAGAGCATTTGTCTGAACTAATGGGCCACATAGATATAGGAAGAAAAATTTCCTTTGGAGCAAAGGGGGCATGTCTCTGCTTTCGCTTACCATCCATCTGTGGCAGCTCTTTCCTCCTCTTGGAACATGGGTCTTATCCCTCAGCTGACATCCCATGACAGAAAATACCAATTACATCCTCCTCCTAAGATGAGACAACTGGGAAAGAGGCTTGACAAGGGACCTCCCGTCAGCCCCTGTAAAGCCAGCCTCATGTCCCAGGGTCCCCCCAAATGCAAATCCCTGTGGTTCTTGTTTGCTGAGCTGGGAGAAAGTGGGCACCGGGGTTTTAGCAGATGTTGGTTAGAAAATAACCATGAGAAAGGAATAAACCAATTAATTGCTGACCCACTGACAGCCAACACCTCTCCCTCACCTCCCCCCACCCAATAAAACCTGTCTCCACAGCTCAAGCAGATTTAGGGTGGATACAAAGAGCCTAGAGGAGGGAAAAAACCCTTTCCCACTCCAGCTAATAGTATTTCCAGATAATCTGTTTGAGGCAGCACCCTCTGCAAACCAGGAAAGCCTTTAAGAGCCGTTAACACCTTTATTCAGACTTCCTCATCCTCCCCCAGACAAGCTGTGATTAATTATCCAATCCACCCCGATCCCCCTGGGAAACAGTGCTCAGTCCGAGTGTTCATTTGAGGATTTGCAGGGTCCCTCTGTGAGAGCAGCTCCTGCTCTCACCACTGGCTCCTGGAGGACTGATGGGGAATAAACTGCTTCCAGCTGCAAATTTATGTTGGTAGGGGAGGTGGATGGTGGGAGGGGAGGTTGATGTGGGGCCTAAGCAATGTTCATGGCTTTTTCTTTTGCTGGTGTCTGTAGTAAACACTGGCTGGACTGTCCCTGGAAGCCCATCTCTGAGAAGTTGCCACTGGAAGTACATCCCGTTTGGTTCTCACCAGGATTTTCCAGCCCTCCTTTCAGCTTTGCTGCTCTCTGACTTGGCTTGCTCTGAAGATACTTTCTTTCCTACTATTTTCCAGTCCTGCCAAAGGTGTTGAGGATGGGGAAGGCAGAGAGGAAAAGGGAACTGCTGACCCTATGGTTGCTGTAGTAGCTGGGACGCAGTGCCTGAGAGGTGCCCCTGTGTAGGTTATTGCAGACCAATGCAGCTCAATAAAACTCATTTTGTTCATGCCCTGCCCCACCAGTGCTACCTTTATCCATCAAATCCCAGGCTTTTTGCATCACAGGGTAATTCTCCCATCCCCAAGGCTGCATACAGCCCCTCCTGGCCATGCAAAGGAAGGATATGGGCTGCTCCAAGGTCATGGTATCACCAAGCAATTTACTGAACCCAACAGTGGCAAATCCCCTTTGTATCAATCTCCACTGCATTACAGATGGCATTAAGTCCGTATTTTTCCACCACAGCCCTTCATCCGTGGTAACTGCAGCCCTCAGGCTGTGTAAGGATTAACATGTTAGTGCCCGCTCTGCCCCAATCCCCTTTGCTATGGCAGGGTGGAGGCACTGCTCTCCTGAGGGACTATGGTAGCATCATGCACATGTTCTATGGCTTTTCTCACTATGGAAAGGCCCTACAGATCCCCCATCTTCAGGGGAGACCCGTGTCTCCCCATCACACCCACAAGACCAACCCACAAACATACTGGGAATGTGCGAGAAGTGCACTGTGGGGCTGGCATGTCCACGTTGCTCAGCCACAGAGAACCTGCAATTAATGAGACAACTGCCATGGCAGCTTTCCTTTCAGGTCTTGAGCTGAGGATTCATGGTTTCATGACACTTGGAGGAGCTCTTTTCCATTAAACCCTCCCTTCTTTGCCAGCCAGGGCTGTCCAAGAACTCACCTCTGTGCACCGCATGTTGTCTGCTGGTCTATTTACATCTGCCAAGGGCCAAACCTCAGAGACATCCTGGTCTGCCACCATGAATCAGTATCTGCCATCAATGTTTTCTATCAGTCACCTCTAGAAACCTTCAGCTAGAAAACAAAAGCAGAGAGCACAGTAGCAGCTTGGGGGTCCCAGCTGGTTTTGCAAATGAAACCCCTTGTCCTCTTCTTATAACCAGAACAACATGTGTAGGTCATTTTCAAACAAAACGACTTCAGATTCATCATCTTGTGTGCTCTTTGACAAGGTTTCAAAGAAAGAATGAGGAGAAAGAGAGAGAGCATGTCTGCCAGATGGGTGCCAGCTCCCCCAGGACGGTTCACAGCCCCAGGTATTGTTTAGCATCACACCTACACACTCTGCTCTATGGGCTGGGCTTGGTTTCAATACTCTCTTTATTTTTAGACATGCTTTCAAGAAAGGGGAAAAAACATCTCTGAATCTGCAGATTTCTGAGGCCTTTGAGAAAAAGAAAGCTGAGGAGCAAGCAGGCAGTTGTGAGGGCCACAGCCCTCCTCCCTGCTGAAGGCTTCAGCCAGCCCGAGAGATATCCCTGTTTTCCAGTCCATGTTCAGGAACAACAGTCATCAAATTGGCTTGACCAGATGCTGGGGAAGTGTGTGAATGTGCAAAATGCCCATGGCTTGCAGATCTGCTTGCAGGTCTTCTCCAGGCCAGGGAACAAGTGGGACACTCAGGTTCCTTCTCTGTGAAGGAAAGCAAGGGAGGAACTCTCTTGTAGAGGGTTCTTGGCTCCACCATCATCAGCCACTGTTGCTGACTAACTGCCTGGCAGAGACAATATATTGAGAAAATAATGACCAGAGGAATCACTGTGGGGTTTTTGACTTTGGTATGCAAGTTGTGAGCATGCAACTCCATGACGATTGAGGGACCACCAATGTACCAGGCTGGGTACCAGCTCAAGAGAGAAGGTTCTGACCAAACACGCGCCCTTCCTGGAGGAGCTGCTTTGGAGAGGGGTCCTCTGGTGCAGGACGAGGGGTCATGTTGGCTGTCCATCTCCATCTGGATCGATGCATCAGAGATCTGAAAGCTGGTACCACTTTGGCCCCAAAGATGTTTGGGCAGCTCTCCTAAATCACCAATCCCAATGCATTTAATATCTGGCAATACCCGCACATCTCCAAGAGCCTGCAAGCAGCCACAAGTGTCTGTATGTCGCCTGTCTCCACTGAGGGCTGTGATGAAGAGCTGTACTCTGACAGGCTCCAGTATGGAACTGGGCCATGCTCCAGCTCTGCCTGTAGCATGGGCACAAGCATTACTCCTTCTGTATGTTATTCCTCCTGCAGCTGTCCCACTGGTGATGCGTCGTGTGAATCCAGCAATGGCCAGCCCAGCTATTTCAGCAGAGGCGGCATTTTTCACGGGGGTCTAGCCACTATTTGGATGGGAAACGTGAGGAAAACCAGGTACTGCAGGAAGTGGTTTGGGTGATTCAGTAGGTGGCATCTTCCCTCTGAATTAGCAACACACTGAGGCTCCTCAGCAGGGAGTTCAGGGCTCTGTGCCACTGCAGGTGTTGCTATTTTAATGACATCCCAAGCTTACTGCTTATGGTCACCCAAGGTCCTGCTTCTTACAAGTGTGGAGGTGTTAGCTCCAGTGTCCTGAGCAGGCTCCAGTCTTCAGCAGTTGTGTTCTGCTGAGCCAAGAGCTGCAGGAATTTCTGCTGGACACATTATTCTTCACTGTCTTTTCCCACTATGAATACTGACCAATTTTCCCAGATGCCAGAAAACAGTATTTACAGGGGTATATCAAATACAAATGCTTCCCATTCCCTTGAAAGACCTTTTCTTGTTTTGTCCTGTGCTCTACCTCTAAAGTCTATCACCCTGAGTGTCTTGTGTAATTTCTCTTTTCAGCCATTGGCTTCGCTCTTCTCCAACTTGCCCCAGGTTGTGCAGGTCACAGTCATCCTTAGATTTGGCTGAATTAGTGCATCGTGCCAGATCCCATCTTCCCTGCTCTCCATCATCCCCCAGGAAGGCACCAACTGCACCTTGGGCCTTGACAGAAGATCCCAGCTGCTACCTGAAAGGAAATAATCAGTTATGAGACTGACATTAATGAAATACAAAATTGTGACCTGGGACAGACTAAAGCCATAGAAAGCATTTTAAATAATTCACCATCCTGAAAGTAAAGCATACTGGGAAAGATGTTCAGGTCCTTTCACAGTGGCATTAACTTCTATGTAACCAGAGCTGAAGCTGTGAGCTGACAGCAAAATGGGACTACTGCTCAGTAGGGAATCCTGACATTTCAAAATGTATTTGAAAAATCAACATTTTCCCTCCACCCCTCCCCTCCAAATTATTTGCAAACATTAAAATATTTTGGTTGGGTAGTAGCTTGTACAAGAAAATGAAATCCAAAATTAAACAAAAACACAAAATGTTGAAACAAATTGCAAAACTCAGAGACGCATGCTGGCAAAACATTCAGCCAAATCATTGCCTTCTGCAAAAATGCTTCTATTTTGGCAAACCCACGTTTTTTCGGGGGCAGACTGATCCACCAGAGACTTCTAAACCCACAGAAAGCGGCAATGGAGGCTGAAGAGAGACGCTGTGTGGGAGACAACGTTTAAAATGTCGATGTTTTGTTTTTCACTTGAAACTACTCCAAGGGCCGCAGGAAAGATGTTCAAGAGCAAGAATTGTGTTTTGGCTGTCTGGCAAAGTCACTGCCAGCTCTTGGGTAAAGCATGGGGCTACTCAGAAAACCCCTGCTTGTTCACAAATGCCCATGGAAGAGTGAACATCACCTGGGCAATTATTTTAAATTTATCTCAGCAGTTAAATGCAACTATGCTCACACAGCAGATATATTTGTATCAGTTGAGTTAAGCTTAGCCCAAGAGGGCAATGAGGATGTTGTGCTGGTGGCACACACTTCAGCTGCTTTCAGTGCTGAGGGCAGCAGCGGGAAGGGACTGTCACTGCCAGGCAAGGGACACCTTCATAATTTTCCTTATTCATATCTTCATTATGGAGGCAGGTCTTCACAGGGGAACAGTGTTTCTTTTGTGTTGGTGAACAGGAGTGAATAAATGGTGCACAAATGGCACGAGTTTGCTAGCTCTGACCCTACGCAACTCACATGTGGGTACAGTGGGGCTAGATTGCAGTCATAGGTCCATCCCAGTGGTGTCTCCTCTGGGATGGCAGAACCTTTCCAGCCAAGACTGCTTGGGCTTCTGGGTGTCTACAGACTCAAGTGCAACAACAGCCTCATGCAAAATACAGACTCTGTTCCTTCCCTTGCTGTTGAAATCACTGCAGAAATCCCAGTGGGAAACTCCTCTGAGATGTGACAATGCTTGTGGGACAACACTCCCGCCTGCTTCCACCAGGCCAGGAGGTCCTGCTACTCGCAAGAGTGCTCTATCCAAGCAGAGCAAGGAAACACTTATGAAAGAAACATCTTTTGTGGTTTCACCTTAAAAGGTCAGTTATGTTACCTGTCGTGCAACATGCTCAGAACATACCACAGATGATTAAACAGTTGGGAGTTATTAGATCACACATCATATAATCCTCCCTGTACCTGGCAACACAATTAGTTATGATTCATAAATTCCAGCCGTGTTATGATTCCCAAGCAGACATGGTACACTGAAAACTCTCTTCTGCAGCTTTCGCAACAGAAAACCACGAGGGACTGACACGGGTAGCACGTGAGACCCTCCTTAGGCTGATACCCATGTCTGGAGGCAGCAGTGAAAAGGTGGGGTCCTGCCTCCTTAATTTTGAGGACACAACAGGGTTCCCTGCACCCTTCTCCACTGAGATGCTGTCAGATGCATGAGGCACTGCTCATTTTGGGAGGTGGCTGGGGACAGAGCAGTGACACCCGGGGTGGGACAGGAGGCAGCCTAGAAAAGGGCACATAGGAAGGAGATGTTATTAGATGGTGTAGGAAGAAGAAAGGGCAGGGGAGAACTGAGGTCCATTCTCTGTATCTCCACAGCAGTCAGCTTTGGGCTAAGGGTGAGTCACCACAAGAGAGCTTGATTAGAAGAGAGAGCTTGGTTTGTGAAGTGGATGCAATTAAAACCTTGGATCCTCAGGGTCGGTTTTACTAACTGCGTTAAACTGAATCAACTCCTGCCTCACTGTGTGCTGTCAAGGGGATGGTTCTGCTCCTCTACTTGCTTTGAAATGTTCTTGCTACAGCTCTTCAGGCCAAGGCAAAATCCAGCTGAGCTGCTGAGGATGAGCAGGAGCAGTATCTGTCTCCCTGAGCATCGAAGAGGGAGCACAGAAATGGCCTAGGAATAGGTGAGTTAATCTAGGAAAGAAAAGCCCTTCAAAGACTATTAAAAACAAAGACAAAAAAATGATGCCTCAGGAAGGTCCCAAGTGAAAACTCATGAGGTGGGCAGCACATATGCAGGAGACCACCCGAAGGAGCTCCTCTGTCTTCTTCCAGAGGCATCTGCTCTGGCTACTTTGCAAGAGAAGGAATGGGGCTAGGTGGACCCCAGATTAGATTCCAAGCGGTTCTTACCTTAGATGAGATGAATAATATGGCTGGATCTCTGGAGAGTGCTGCAGCCACCATTAGTACTACTGACAAGTGAGAAACATCAGCTTTGCCCTAGGCAGCAGTATTGGGTCTTCAGTAGGAGCAGCAGACTGGGTTCAGGAGCACCCACTGCTTCCCAGAGCTCACCTGCCACTGACTTATGCACCCCTCAGGCTAGATTCAATACTGACCCCAAAACAGAAGCACCAATGAGGCTGGAGAGATGATGGCCCCATGCCCATCCATCCTGATGTCATTAAAATTTTGCTGAGATGCAGCAGTGTCACCAAGTCATAGAATCATAGAATGGTTTGGGTTGGAAGGGACCTTAAAGATCATCTAGTTTCAACCCCCCTGCCATGGGCAGGGACACCTTCCACTAGACCAGGTTGCTCAAAGCCCCGTCCAACCTGGCCTTGAACCCTTCCAGGGAGGGGGCAGCCACAGCTTCTCTGGGCACCCTGAGCCAGCGTCTCACCACCCTCACAGGGAAGAATTTCTTCCTTCTGTCTAACCTAAATCTGCCCTCTTTCAGTTTAAAACCATTGTCCCTTGTCTTATCCCTACACTCCCTGATAAATAGTCCCTCCCCAGCTTCCCTGTACCCCCTTTAAGCACTGCAAGGCCGCGCTAAGGTCTCCCCAGACCCTTCTCTTCTCCCGGCTGAACCCCCCCAGCTCTCTCAGCCTGTCCCCATGCGGGAGCTGCTCCAGCCCCCTGAGCATCTTCGTGGCCTCCTCTGGCCCCGCTCGAGCAGCTCCGTGTCCTTCTGCTGTTGGGGGCCCCCGAGCTGGACCCAGCACTGCAGGGGGGTCTCCCCAGAGCGGAGCAGAGGGGGACAATCCCCTCCCTGGCCCTGCTGCCCCCCCTGCTCTGGCTGCAGCCCAGGGCATGGGTGGGTTCTGGGCTGGGAGCACACGTTGGTGGCTCACAGTCAGTTTTCCGTCCACCAACACCCCCCAGTCCCTCTCCGCAGGGCTGCTCTCCAGCCACTCCTCGCCCAGCCTGGATTTGTGCTTGGGATTGCCCTGACCCGTGTGCAGGACCCTGCACTTGGCCTCACTGAACTTCATGATGCTCACACAGGCCTCAGCTCAACAGGTATAAAAACCCATTAAATATTTAATTTTCATCAATTGCTTTCAGTAAGTGCCTGTTGAGGAATTCATGGGAACGTTTTCTCTTTGACACAGAGATATGTTCAATTATGAAAGATGGCTAAAAATAAAAGGAAATTATACTGTTCAGACATCTCTGGAGGTGGAGACAGGAGGGGGAACTGTCAAGGAGAGCCAGGGAAGAGATTTTTGTTAGATGTAAAGAAAGGCTATTTATTTTTTACTGACTGAAAATGTCAGGATGCAGCCTGACTTGAGTATCTGTAATGGTACTTACCTTCTGTATTAATAATTTGACCTCAACTATTTAGGGTCTGACCCAGACTACCAGAGTTAAGAGTCATGACAGTCTCTTTCTCTGGCTGCAGGGTGTTGGATCACCCTCCTAAACCTCTCAGTTGTACACTTTTTTTTTTTTTTAATGAGCATTTTCCCTTTTTTTTTTTTTTCAAATGCAGGACCCCAGCCTGTGACACTAAGAAGACTCTTTTGGGTTATTTTTTTAATGTGAGAGGCTTGAGCTGGTAACCCAGGGCTTCTTATACACTCAGTAAGTCTACAGGATGTCCTGATGTTGATAATACATTTACATGTTGTAGTGAAAATGACCTGGCTGAGCGCAGGGCTTGGACCATCAATCCCTTATGGATCAACCCTTCGAGATAAGAGACTCTGACAGCCACAAAAAGTTGCTTAGCTTCTCCTACTGACCACTGTCAGAGGGACATGACTGAGCTGCAGTAACCATTTCTCTGCATGTTTTTAGCCCTTTGCAACATTTCCAAGCTTAAATCTCTTTTAGTGAGTAATATAACTTGCCTTACCTTGGGCTTGGAGAGTGCTCTCCCGCAGCTCCCCATGCTGATGCAGGGGGGTGGAATCACTCTCTGACATTCCTCTCTCAAGATGAGTACTCAGGAATCTCACCCCTCTAATTTCTAGATGATATAAACTGAATAAGGAGATTTCCCATTGTCGTGGTTTGGGCCTGGTTGGCAGCCAACCACAGTGCAGCAGCTCTCTCTCCCTTCCCCTCCAGCAATGAGAAGGGACAGAGAGCCAGGCTTGGGGTTCGAGATAGGACTGGGATGGGGAGAAAATTCCCCTTTATGGTCACGAGCAAAAGGCAGACTCGTTAGGGGAAGAAAAAAAGAACATACATTTATTACAGGCACTAACAACACATAACAGAGTAGGACAGTGAGAGGCATTGCCACATCTTGAGCACACCTTCCCCCCACCCCTCCCTTCTTCCCGGGCTCAGCTCTGCTCCCGATATCTCTACCTCCTCCCCCAGTGGCGCAGGGGCAGGGAATGGGGGGTGCAGTCAGCGCTGCCACTTCCTTCATCTTCGGTGAGGGGAGTGTCCGGAACTTGTT